TCCAGCTGTGCCCTGTGCTGTCCTTGTTTGCAGTCCTGTCCACACACTGGCCCCATGAGCAGGTGCCTGTCCAGCACTGAGGGGCTGGGCAGGAGGAGGGGTCCCATCTCTGCTTGATCTTGATGAACCCAGTTACTGCCTGGTGCCCAGATTCCCACCACTCAGAGGAGAGCGAGGTCAGAATGCCACTTGCCTCTGTCCTCCTGGGCACACCGCTTCTCCCAGAAGCTGGGCCACTCATCTCAGCTCTGGAAACTGCATCAGGTCTTGCTTACTCGGTGCCTTTTTGTTGTAAACCCTGTAAGCCAAGGCTCTGTCTCTTTTGCTGTATCTTTAAAAGAGAATTTCTTAATTCAGTTGTGAAAACAGAAGCATACTGTGAAGTTTTACCTAAGTCGTGGTCATTGTAGATTTATTTTTAAGTTGAGTCATAATAATGTAAAAATTATGTGTATTTATCAGGATTATCTTAGTTACTTTCACATTGCGGGCCAAAGTACCTGACATTCACAAGTTAAAGTTGGAAAGGTTTACAGTGTTTTGGTTCACAGTCTGGAGAGGATTCAGTCTACAGTCTGCTGGCTCCAAGCAGGGTGGAGTGGCAGGGTGCATCACAGAGTAGAAACAGTTCATGGCATGGCAGGCAGAAGGTAGCAATCAGCAGCAGCAGGCTGCCAGCCTGTTGATTGGTGTCACCTGTACCTGGGGTGGGGTTGCTGTTAACCACACCAAGAACTGTGCTGACCCAGGTTAGCTATCACACACCCTTGATCCTAGCTCCATACACGCACCTCCAAGCAGCCCCACCTATGACCCTGTGAGGCTTTGTGGGGCATCTAGATAGAAGCCATAACATACATGATGTTTCAGTAGCTGTACACACTGTGGAATGCTCACATTCAATAAGCCTTCCTGTCTCCAGTGCTCACATCTCCTTACGGTGCAGGCATCCAGGATTCTCCTCTTCTTCCTTCTCTTCTTCCTCCTCCTCTTCCTCCTCCTCTTCTTTTTCCTCTTCTTCCTCTTCTTTCTCTTCTTCCTCCTCCACTTCCCCTTCCTATTCACCGTCTCCTCCTCCTCCTTCCTTTTGTGTATTTGTGTGGTACTGGGATATTAGACCCAGGGCCTTTCCTCTGAGTCATATCCCATAACCCTTTTTCATTTTTAAAATTTTGAGAGAGGGTCTCACTAAGTCATGGAGTTGTTGCCATCGTCCTGCCTTTGCCTCCCTAGGGCTAGGGTTCCAGGCATGTGCCACCTCACCTGGCTTCCCCTAGCTGTTTGAGCAGTGCTGGACATTGCTGGTGCCTCAGTGATGGTGGTGGCAGGCATGGGGCCCACACAGCAAATCCCTTAGCAAAGACAGGCTGCTCTCAGCTGTCTCTGCTGCCACTGAGGGTTTCTGGTCTGTGCCACACGTACAGTGGGCCCCATGGGGCCTTGAAGCAGTGCCTGGCTTGTAGGGCCTTTGCCTGGTGATGAGTGATTTGCTGGGTGAGGCACAGATGAGGCTCTGTGGCTGCCAGGAGGTCCTGGGCTTGAGGAAACCTGCCTCTTCTGTCAGCTTCCATTTCTGCCTTGAGTGTGTGCCTGGCTTGGAGCGCTCCTCGGAGGAGCCTTATCTTTTGTGAGAATCTACCATTATAGAAGGGGACCAGCTGCCTCACAAAGGGACACGTGGACATTGTGCTGGTGTCTGCAGCACAGCATCTCGCCATCAGATTAGAGCAATACACATGTTATAAAAACACCCAGAATCACGGCTGGTACATTGGGAATTCCTCACTGCCAGATCAGGCAATCATTCTGCCCTGAGATGCGAGATCAGATGTACCCTTGCCTCCTAGATTAAAACTCTGAAGCAGCAACAGAAATCCAGGAAATGTGCTACCCGGGTGAGCAATAAATGCATAACAGCAGAGTGAAGACAGTGAAATCACGGGTTAGAGCAGTGTTTTTAATCTTCCAGCCATGGCTGTCTCAGTTAAACATAAGAAAAGATCCTGGTGCAGCCTGATCAAGGGAGGATGCAGCCACAGCCATTTGCAGTGCACTGTGGAGTTCTCTGGAAGCATTCACAGGTTTTCTCTGCACAAGGAGGAAGGCAGAAATGTCTGCTCTCCAGCCTTGCTTTCTTTCCCCTGTATGGCTCTGCTTTTTGCAAAACCAGAAGCCTGTGCTGAGGAGGTGTGTGATGTACCTGCAGGAAAACAGGCTGAGACATCTGCATGCCCTGGCTTGAACCCCAGTTCATCACAGCCATCAGACTCTGGAAGGTTCTTCATCTACGTGTGCTTGAGGTGCCTCTGTTGAAGCAGCCATGGTAACCATGGGGTGATAGAATGAGATGTAAATACACCAACAGCCTAAAGTCCTAAATGGCACGGGGGACTTGGGGCCACAAGTTCACTTGTGCAGAGTCATCCTTGCGGGTCTGCCCAGGATGGGGTCCTGGAACCCCCCCCCCCGCAGACAGTAGAATGTGTGCTGCTCAGGTCCCTGTGTGAAAGGGCCATGATGGGGTGTTTGAATATAACAGAGGTATGTGTTTTTCTTCCCTTGTCATTGCTAGCTGTGCCCCTGGAGCCTTACACACTCATAGGTGTGATTTTGGGGAGGTGGCTGGGTCATGGATACATGATATTAGGGTTAAATGTGTGTGTGATAACTAAGTTATTTGACATAGATCTGGGTGTGGATGGTGGATGATGAAAGCCCCAACCCAGGTGCTGATGGCACCACCAACGAGGTTTTGGGCCAGGATAAGACAAAAGGGAAAGGGAGGCAGCTGCTTTTACCTCCTGCCTGCCCTGCCATAGGGTCACCAGTGTTCAAGGAAGTTAGATGGGTGTGCAGAATTTGGGAACTCCTGGGATGTGTGGCATGGTGCAGGTGGGAAGGTGAGGGAGCCTTCCCTTTTGAGTCTGTGTGACTGGAGGACCCCAGAGATGTTCATGGTGGCTGGCAGGGGCTGTAAGGAGCAAGGCCGGAATCATGTTCAGTGAAAGACAAAGAGAAGAAATCCCAGTGGGTGTTCTGGGTCCTGACAGCAGGCATCCACCTCCAGCAATTCAGTCCGTGATGGATGTGGAAGTGAAGTCCACTATCCAGGAAACCACACCACAGGCGTTAGGCCCACACACTGGGAGCCAGGAGTAGGATATCTGGATAATATCAATTTATAATCACAAAAATTGTTCTGCAAAGCTGAAGCAGAAACTCGCTGAGTGGATACCTCCCTCTGTTCTTTCTGTCTGAACAGAGCACCTCAGCTGTGGCTGGGTGTGTGAGGGGAGGGCTGGGGAGGCTGCCACTGTTACAAAGGGGAGCAGGCTGCAGCCTGGCACATATCAGGGCATCTGTGAGCAGGACTGTGGGGACTTTGGGGAACTGAGATGTGTTCCAAGACTGCCTTTTGATTTATTTATTTTTCCTTACAACTTGTGCCTTTGTAAGGAAGTGCAAATCACAGATATGTTAAAAGTGGGTACACAGGAGAGAAAGAAGGCAGGGGGTGCAGCACGAAAGGGAGCAAGGGTGGGATCTGACATGCTGCCACCCAGAGGAGCACTTAGCTCCAAAAGTTTGAAGCAATCAATGAGAGAGAGAAACCTAATTACTCTCCTAGTTCCCAGGGTCTGTGGGAGGAAACACAAATCGATTGCCTGAAGTTACAGAGTTCTGGATGCAGCATCCCAGGGGCTTGCTGGGGAGGGGACACCATACTGCGAGCCATTATAAGCAGCCTTTGTAATGAAAAGCTTTTAGTTGATGACTTGGTGGCTGTTTCTCCTCATTGGCTGCCAACATTTGAACAAAACAAAGCAAAACAACTAAAACAAAATTGGCCAAAGGAAATGGTCCATTTTTCCTATTTAGACTTGGCTTTGAAAGGGTTGCTGGCCCAGACCGGACACTGTAGCCAGAAAAGCCTCAGCCAGAATTAGGGAGCTCCTGCCTCCCCTGCCCCTAGAGATTTACCTGTAACCCTATACCCCCCACCCTTCAAAACCTGCCCCTGGCGCCAAACGTGTGCCAATGAAATACCTGTGCATCTCTAATGGCCTTAGGGCACTGCCCTAAGCTTTTCCCTGCATTCCCCAATACCCCATAGCCCCCCAACATTTAAGGGGACTTAAACCCATCATTAAGTGGCTTTTGGACAATGGTTTTCTTAAACCTACCTATTCACCCCACAATACTCCCATTCTCCCGGTACTCAAGGCTGATGGGTCCTATCACCTGGTACAGGACCTTAGGGTGATTAACAGTGCTGTTACCCCCACTCACCCAGTGGTGCCAAATCCTTATACCATGCTCTCTCATATCCCTCCCTCCACCACTCACTTTACAGTTATAGATCTTAAAGATGCCTTCTTCACTCTCCCCCTACACCCTGATCGCCAGAACCTCTTTGCGTTTACATGGACTGACCCAGACAGTCTCAGGTCTCAACAACTTACTTGGACAGTGCTCCCCCAGGAGTTCAGGGATAGTCCCCACTTCTTTAGTCAGGCTCTTGCTACTGACCTCACAGAACTCAATCTCAAACCTAGTGTTCTTCTTCAATACATAGATGACCTCCTATTATGTTCTCCATCCCATATGTTAGCCATATGCCACTCAGCCAGTCTTCTTAATTTCCTTGCTAGCCGTGGATACAGGGTGTCTCCCGCCAAAGCCCAGATAGCCTCCCCAAAAGTCAAATACCTAGGTCTTGCTCTCACCCCCACCACTCGCTCCATCACCTCAGATCGTAAGGCAATTCTTTGTGATCTCCAGGTGCCCACAACTAAACAGCAGGTTACATCTTTCCTTAGCTAATTTCTTTCACCTCTGGATTCCTAACTTTGCAGCCCTAGCTCAACCCCTCTACAAGGCTGCTAAGGGTTCCTTATCAGAATCCCTGGACCCTAGTAGGCCCATACATGCCTCCTTTCAAAAACTAAAAGAGGCTCTCCTAAAAGCTCTGGCTCTTACCCTTCCTGATCCCACCCAACCTTTCATCCTATACACTACTTGTCAGGGCCACAATGCTATAGGTGTACTAGGACACAAAAAGGGACCTTCTTTTCAAGCAGTAGCTTACTTATCAAAACAGTTAGATCACACAGTAAAAGGGTGGGCTCCTTGTCACCGAGCTCTTGCAGCTGCAGCCCTCCTGACACAGGAAGCTAAAAAGTTTACATTAGGACAATCTATTACAGTACACTTACCTCATCACCTACGTGACCTTATCTCACATAAGGTGCTCCCCACCCTAATGACCCCTTCTGGCCTTCAACAGGTACACTTAGCTCTCTCTCAAGACCCTTGCATCTCCATTGCAACTAGTGGTCCTCTTAATATAGCCACCTTACTTTCCACCTCAGAGGGCCATCCTCACTATGACTCTATAGAGTTTTTACAGATGACTCCCACTTCTTTCCCTCACATCAGTAGCACACCTCTCTCTTTGGCCTTTGACACATGGTTCATAGATGGCAGTTCAACAAACACAGACAACCAAAAGAAGGCAGGATATGCAATAGTTAACCAGTCAAAAGTTATAGAGGCAAATCCACTGCCACCTGGGACCTCTTCCCAGAGGGCAGAACTTATTGCCCTTACAAGGGCCCTTACACTAGCAAAAGACAAGATTACAAATATATACACTGACTCAAAGTATACATTTAGCATCTTACACTCTCATGCCTCTATTTGGCAAGAATGGTGTTTTATTCCCACTCAAGGAACCCCCATTATTAATGCCCCCCTTATCCTTAAGCTTCTAGAGGCAGCCCAGCTTCCAAAGCAGGCAGCAGTCATCCATTGCAGAGGACACCAAAGCTCTACAGATCCTATTGCTCAAGGCAATGCCTTTGCAGATTCACAAGCCAAGTTAGCTGCACAAGGGCCCTGCCCTTCTCATCTTCTCCCATTAGTCCCAAACAGTCTACCTCAGCCCAATTATACACCAGAGCAGTTACAGTTACTTCATAAACCAGGTTACACACAAAACACTCAGGGATGGATTTTTCAGGGATCTAAACTTGTTCTCCCACATCAACAAGCCTCAGACATCATCACCAACTTACATAACTGTTTTTATATAGGATCTCAGGCCCTACACAAACTCTTGGCCCCAATAGTCACACACCCTTCTCTAAAAGCCATCATTCTTAAAACTACTCAAACCTGTGATCTCTGTGCCAGGACCTCTCCGCAGGGATGCATGGCACCCCCTTCCTTTCCTACCCATCAATTTCTGGGACACACCCCTGGTTAGGACTGGCAGATAGATTTTACACACATGCCCCACCACAAGACTCTCAAATATCTTCTCACTTTTGTTTGCACCTTTTCAGGGTGGATAGAAGCCTTTCCCACAACCAGGGAAAGTGCTGATATAGTTACCAAAATCATATTATAAGAAATCATTCCGAGGTTTGGTCTACCTCAGAGTATTCAGTCAGATAATGGTCCCGCCTTTATTTCTTGGATCACTCAACAGGTATCCTCGAGCTTACACATCACCTGGCACCTACACATCCCATACCATTCGCAATCCTCAGGAAAAGTAGAAAAGGCAAATGGCCTTATAAAGACACACCTTACAAAACTCACTTTAGAACTACACCAACCTTGGTCTCAACTTTTGCCCTTAGCCTTAGCCAAGCTCAGGGCACTTCCCCGGGCTCCTACTTTCTTAAGTCCTTTTGAACTTATGTATGGTGGGCCATTCTTAATCCACAATCTTCCTGCTCCCCAAAATCTCCCTCCCCTGGCTGACTATGTCCCAGTCCTCTCCTTCCTCTGACACCTGTTGCGACAACATGCTGATCTCTGCCTTCCACAACCATCTGGAAAGGCCAAACCAGATCCTCCCATATCCCCAGGAGATCTAATTTATCTCAAATGTTCTAAATCCACAGGACTACAACCAAGGTGGAGTGGCCCTTGCCTGGTCTACTTGGCTACCCCTACAGCGGTCAGAGTTGCTGGACTCCCATCCTGGTTTCACATCACTCAGGCTAAAAGGTGCCCTCCCAGTCCCCAAACTGATCATTCTGAGTGGTCATCTCATCTTCTGTCACCCACCTGTCTCCATTTCACAAAGGCCTCACAGCCGCAGATAACAGGCTAAGTCATGTTTTGTTATCCGATTTGGTTCCTAATCTCTTACGCTCTATTAATGATCATTTTTGCAGCAGGACTCTTGACAGTCTTTCCTAGAGACTCCCACATCATGCATAAGATCATCTTTATAATGTTCTATGTGATAACTGTTGTGGTTCTTTCCACCCTCAGCTGTCTGGTTAAATGTGACATCCCTGAAAGCCTAAGGCCTCACCTTCCCTATATTGGTACAGCCACCACCTTCCCCACTCCCCCTATTTTATCTGGCTCAACTCCTAGCCCAGAGACAAGTTTTACACACCTACCCTCCTAACTTTTATGCCTTCAGATGGGGGAGTAATCACCTCTCATAATTTCACTCCTTCTAACCTCACACTTATTTTTTCAGAATTCTACCTCACCATGATAATGTTCCTACCTCAACGTCATCCTGATAAAATACCATGTCTAAATCAAAGGCACCTTCCTCTCTACCTCACCTGGGTCCTTAAATATGACAGTGCTATGTCTCCTAATAACACCATGTCTCTTTGTTTTTTCCAGTCTGACATAGGTACATTCACCAGTGAAGTTGTCCTGGCTAAAACACTTGGCATCAGCATCTACCTGGGCATCAACCTTCATCCCGTTGACTCCCCTAGGCTCCAATACAGTGCCCCCTGCCAGCAGGAAGTAGTTAAAGAGAGAAATCTTTGCCCTTTTCCTAATAATCATAAGATGGGATATGAAAGGGTTGCTGGCCCAGACACTGTAGCCAGAAAAGCCTCAGCCGGAATTAGGGAGCTCCTGCCTCCCCCGCCCCTAGAGATTTACCCGTAACCTTATACCCCCCACCCTTCAAAACCTGCCCCTGGCGCCAAACGTGTGCCAATGAAATACCTGTGCATCTCTAATGGCCTTAGGGCACTGCCCTAAGCTTAGGCTACTTATATTCCCCCACGCCACGTGTCCGCGAGAGAGATTGCCAGATTCCAGCGGCCAGTGTGCCAGTCCTCTCTCCCCATGTTCCCGGAATAAAGGCCTCTTTTGTCTTATACTCCTCAACTTTTGGAAGAATTTTTCATGCTCTGAAAATAATCCTATCAGGCTTCACCGAGGCAAATCAAATATTGACCTGGCTGTTAGTAAATGATTCCCTGGCATACTTTATCTCCTAAGTGTATTTTTTCTTCGTAAAATACCCTGGGGCCCTGGGGGATTTACAGGGGTGGACCATACCTGCAACATGTGAGCACAGCGCCTGTCCTTTAACACGCCTATGGGGCATGCATGACCTTGGCTGCATTTGTGGTCCCCTGGTTCCTTTTGGCCATGGTAGCCACAGTGAAAACCCCAGCAGGACCAGGCTGAATTGCAAGATGGGATCTGGCCTTGGTTGCTGCTTAGGACCTGGGGTCTTGGTGAAGGCTGCAGGAGCAGGGCGCAGGGAATCTGTGGGCAGCTGGTGGGAGGTGACTTGTGGGTCGCAGAGGGTCAACGTTCAATTTTCTCTTCACAGCAGTAACGCTGTACAGCAGCCCATACAGAGGAGCCTTGCTGAATGAGGACCAGATGTCAGTGGAAAGACCACGGCTGTGGCTGCCCCTGGGGTGGGGACCTGGCCACTGAGGTCTCTAGGTCACTCAGGGTGAGTTTGCTGCCTCATCCACTTTTCTCATGGGAGGTGTGTAAGGTCAGTGACACAGGGCTTGGATATTTCCTTGAGGTGGGAGGAATGTGATTAATGGAAGGAGACGCATCCATGAGCTCGGAATGAGTGGAGACTCTTGAGTGGCTGTGATTCTAAATAGAGATTATTCTGAGGCGGTGTGTTCCCTGTAGTGCATGGGCCTGGACAACTTCTGGGTAGTGTGTGTGTGTGTGTGAGCATATGTGTGCCTGTGGTGCTGGGGGTGGCACCCACTGCCTGCTGCATGCCAGGCATGTGCCATCCTGCGGACATGCACCCCAAGCACCTTCCAGGACAGTTTTTCTGTTGACACAGACTTGGAATGTGCACAGATAGACAGGGCGGTGCCCCTGATGTTTCATGTGGGACACTTTCCTCACTGTCCCTGTGGAGGGCAGATTGTCACTTTCCACTCTCTTGTCATAAGGTACAGCACTCTGCCCAGTCTCTGCCATTCCCTATCTGCCTTCTTTATCACACTGTCAGCAGACCATTAAACAGTGCCCTGATAATAAAAGTGTTATATCCTTCTTACCCAGGTAGGAATACAATATTGGGAATGAACACAAAGCCTTGGTAGAGTCTTACCAAGTTGCCCAGGCTGGGCTCAATCTTGCCATCCTCCTGCCTCAACCTCCCAGAGAATTAGGATTACAGGCATGCACCACCATGCCTGGCCACAGCGTGCTTCACGGGCATTTTGTCTTCCAGTCATTTCCATAGCAGGAAAGACAGGTCCCTGTCCTTCATGCTCTGCCTTCTGTGACTCTGCCTCTAATCATCTTTGACAGCTGCCTGAGTCTCAGCAGCAGCCAGCTGACAAATATGATAAAACCAGATGCCACAGGAAAGAAGGTGCAGCTTGGAGCATGGTTTATGGGGAAAGGTTTTGTTCTCTTGGATGCCAGCAAGACCATTTGTACGCAGTGTCCCTAAAGACAGGGTAGACAGGAGACCAGGTGGCACTTGCCAGAGTTGAAAGGTGTTACTAATGTTGCAGTTAAAAGCCCTGGCAGGAGAGTGGGGTGTATGTGACTGCATCCTCATGGCAGTCATTTACAGAATCACCGAGGCTGGTGCAGGGCCAGAGCAGCTAGATCCGTCACCAGTGCCCTCCCTGGCAGGGGTCACCATGACCAGTTCTCACTGTCCTGGGCAGAGTCTGTGGTGTGTTGCTGGCTGCAGGGATGGCTGTCCTCTTAGCTAGGCATCAGACTGCACTTCAATGGTGGACTCAGATAAGGAGATGCAGCCATGCCTGACTCTGTGCTGCTCAGTGACCCAAACTGCCCCAAACTCTGAACAAAGGTCTAAGTCTCCCAAGGTGGCCAGGGCTCCAGGTCAGCAGTCTTGGCTGTCACAGTGGAGAGAGCTCTGGGTTCTTCTGTTCCACCTGACTAGCCGCTGTGCTTCTCCCGCAACCTGGAGAGCATTCAGCAGTGCAGCATGGCCCTGTGTGTTGTGCTGGGATTCTCCATCCTGTCTGCTTCTGTTGGGGGCCACATGGTGAGGGACAGGGTGACCAGAGCCAAGAGGTTGCAGCACATAAGTGGTCTCAGCTACAGGACGTACTGGGCCGCTTACTTCCTGTATGACATGGTAGGACCCATGGGGGGGGGCAGGGCGGGACAGGGGGTGTGGACCACCCAGGGCCATCCATGGAGAAGGGCTCCTGGTATCAGGGACAGCGTTCAGGCCAAGCCACCTTCAGAGATACCCAGCAGACTGTCAGGGTGGCTTTAGTCAGGAAGAATCAGGGACAGAGCTCTGGCCAGAACCCAAAGTTTGACACTGGAGAGCCGTGTAAATCAGCACCTTCCATGTGGTCCTTTGAAAGAGGAGCAAGGTAAGATGACAAAAAGAATTAGGCACAATCTGTCCTTTGCTCTCCTGACACCAGCCCCACTGGGAGGCGGCTCTGTTCCTTGTGTGAGGTGGCTGCCAGAGTTTCCCCTGGGGCCCTCTGCACCACCTCCTCAGGGTCAGAGAGGACAAGGACGCAGCCCTCCTTGGGTTTCCCTAGAGCTTCAGATGCTTACTTGCATCAAAAGTGCATCTACCTGGATGGCAGAGTGCTCTGTGCCCTTCCCTGGTAAACACTCCATCCATTTCCAAGCAGTGCTGAGCTGCTGTGGGATCCTGGTACATGTAACTCCCACCTTTAGCAGCAGGGTTCCCTGAAGATCCGTGACAGGCCTGGTCCATGAAGGGAGCAGGCCAGGCTTCACACTGACTCTCCTTGGCCCAGTTCTGCACCAGCTGTCTTGCATCCTCTACAGAACCTGACATTTTAACCTGTTGCTCTCCTGTAATGTTTATAGTTTTGTGCTGGCTTAGGATTTAGCTGATTTACTTGCTTTCCATCATGTGGATTAAATTTTTTAAAAAGTAGATGTTTTGTGCAGATCGCACCTAAGTGACCCCAATACTTCAGGAGTTTGGCTGCCCATTTTGAAATGAATCCAAACCTGTCACGTGACAGCTGCCAACAGGGGCGATTCCCAGTGTGTGCCCTTCTTGGTTCTTTACTCATGGCTGGGTGGCCCCCAGCTCCACCTCAGTCACCATCCAGGAGATCCATGATTCTTTGAAGAGATTGAGAGGTGCTGGTCCCAGCCCTCACCTTGCCATAGATGCTCAGAAGCAGGAGAGAGGAAGCAAGGACTCCAGTGCCATGCTCCGCCTCTGGTCAGCTTATTCCCAGAGCCACACATGGCCTCAGGCTACTTTGCTCCAGATGCCTACCTTTTATTGATATCTTAGTTACTTTTCTCTCATTGCTGGGACAAAATACCTGAGATCCAAAATGAAGGAAGGAAAGGTTTATTTAGCTTGCAGTTTATAGAGGTTTCAGTCCATGCTCAGCTGGCTCCAAGGCAGAATGGCATGGTACAGAGGCAACAGTTCAAGGAAGCAGAAGACAGCAAAAACAACAAGAGCAAAAGGAGAGGAGCCAGAGAGCAAGCTTATTCCCTCCTTATATCATGTGCAGGCTCCCTGCCCCAGGGGAGGGAGGCACTCATACTCGTAACCCCAGTGTTGGACCATGGATCAGCCACAGACCCTAGAAACCTGCTCCCATGCTGCATGAGGCTTTGGGGACATCCAGACACAAACCATGACAAACAGTGTCTGGTGGTGGGTCCTGGGCTGCTGGCCTGAGGAGAACAGCTGCAGGAGAGGGTGGGGGCAGGCAGGGAGGGAAGAAGCTGGTCCTGATTTCCTCCTCCTCACTGTCCCCTCCCTTCTCCCTCCTCCCCTTCTCTCTCCTCCCCTCCTGCTTTCCTCTTCTTTTTCTTTCTCATTCTAAGATACATTTTTAACCTTTTTTTCCTTTGTGAGGAGGGTGGTTAGACAAGGTCTCTCTATGTAGTCTAGGCTGGACTTGAGCTCATTATATAGCCCCAGCTGGCCTCAAATTTACAGTAATCCTCCTGCCTCAACTTCATGAGTGGTAGGATTACCAACCATGCATCAGCATGCCCAAATCCCAGGTCCTTTTTTTGAGTTTTATTTTGAGACAGGGTCTGGAAAAATCATGAAGTTGTGTAGTTGAACTCAAATTTGCAGTCCTCCTGCCTCAGCCTCCTAGAGTGTTGGGGTCATAGCCAAGGGCCCCTGTTCCTGGCCCTCATTTCTTCTTCTTCTTCTTCTAAGGGCACAATCATAGGGTGCCAGGCTCCACTTTAATTGACCCCATTTGTACTTAATCTTGAACTCTTGAAAAGCTTTGTTTACAAACAGCATCACCATGAAGTTCGGGTGCTCGGCACATGAATTCTGGGGTCACAGTTCACCCAGCACAGAATCCAGCAGTGAACTGCTCGTGGGTGCAGTGGGAGCTTGGCTGAGGTCCACGGCACATGGTGTTAGGGTGAGTCTCTAAGGTCACTATGCCGCCCTGCCCTGAAGCCACTGACCACCTCTGTTTTATTTTCCCAGCTCTTCTACTTGGTTTCCATCTGCCTGTGCATTGCTGTCATCCTCACTTTCCAGCTCACAGCCTTCACCTTCCGAGAGAACCTGGTGGCCACGGTGCTCCTGCTGGCACTGTTCAGGTGGGTACACCACGAGGGTGCCCTGCAGAAGGGTGGTCTGTGCTGTGAAAGAGAAAACCCTCAGGATGCTGTGAACCTGCTGTGGTGCTGTGATGCTCTCCCTTGTCAGGCTGTTATGTGTCTCCTGCAATGGAGGCAGGAGGAACAAGCCCTAGTGAGGTGATGTGTGGCCCTGGGGCGGGGAGGGAGGCCTTGGGTATCAGGAGTCCCTGCCAGCCTGGCCCTGGCCCTGTCACAGTGAGGCCCAGTGGATGCTGGGCAGGCCTGCTTAGAGAAGTGGGTCCTGGTCACTGTGCCATAGCTGTGGGC